GTACTTCTTTTGCAGAGACAGACAAACAGAAAGCCATCATATATTTTATATAAAATACTCCACAGAATCCGGTAATATTCCGCTGAATTTTTATTAATAAACTTTGCTCCCTTTGCTGCAAACACAAAAAATACAAAAGAATAAAGAGTTGGTTCAGCAAATGTAGCATACTTTCCAGAGCGGATGAGCCAATAAATTGTAATATAGTATCCGAATTCCAAAGAGATCTCGAGTAAGTAACCAGCATTGCAAAATACTTATTCATCAGCATTACTTTTACAATGTCACAATGGATTTATTTTTGGGGGGCGTATACGTAATGTGTGTGGCTGTCATTACTGTTTTGCTGCGTTTGGCTCCCAATGCCACTTACGGCATCGAAATGCCCTGAGAAATATTCGCCAACGCCCCAGCGCTATTAATCACAATTATTGTCAGGCAGTCTGCCGGGAATCCCAGCCTCATACTCGTCCTGGGCTAGGAATCGGGTCACAGTTGTTATCCCTGTACCAGGGACATGACAAATTGTGCCTTGGCCCAAAGTAGGTTACGCTCCTCTGGCTGCTTCTCTGGCTGCTCCTCTGGCTCTGCTTTCCCCCTTCTAAATGCCTCTAATAGCTGGCGGGTCCATTGTTTTTGCTTCTTCCCCTAAAGCGAATGCAAGGGTAAAATGCTCATTTCGCAACGAGTGGGTCACATGTAATTGCCGGCGTGGATGATACGGGGCTGCCTGGCTGAGTGCCCCGGAACAATCAATAATGCTAACTACCGAAGGCCAAATTACAAACTCTGCGATTTGTAATCCAAAGTGCTACCCGTTCAGCCTATGTCAGGCAAACTGGAAAAATCTCGGGCCTTAGCTTGATGATTTATGCCTTGTTTTCTTCAATAAAGCCACGGCTTTATTTAGAAATTGTAAATTTATAACAGTGGAAGTAAGTAGGGCTGACGGGAAATTAATATGAAATTGTTATACCAGAAAATCCATTAATTCTATTACAGAAATATTGTTTTTTGTGTAAGGACCAGCTACATTAGCAACAAGAGCATTACTACTTTGCGAGTATTTAAATATGGCACTCGGCAAGGATTGGCGGAAAACAGCGGGTGACGGACGATGTTATGGCACATTAATAACTGGGTTGGGTCCAAGGAAAGGAAGCTCTAGCCCCTGTTGGGGGTGTGGCGGGCAAGTTATGCCATTAAAATGTCAAAATTTCAAGCTGCGCCACTTTGACACGCCAAATGAAACGTGGCACGCCCACCCAGACACCTACGAGCCACGCCTCCCGCCCACCTAACAAACACGGTCCCCATGCCAACACCGCGGAGATCCAACAAGGGGTAGCCGAGGCTATTTAATACTAATTAGACCCAAAACTGGTAGCCAAACTGGGTAACAAGGCCATGTTGCCAGCCGCGGCAACTGTGTCTCCTTTTCGCACTTCTGTGCTTGTCTTTTGCTTTGTTTGTGCAAGAACTTGGTTCTGCAAAGAATTAATGGAAAAGTCAGAGGCAAATGGCTTTAATGTTTGCCCTTGCCCCTGGTCCCCTGCCCAGTCTCTGGCCCCCCCTCTGGCAAATAGTTTGAATGCAATTGCCAGCAAAAGTTGGCGATGTGACATTTCAAAGGCACAACTTTATCTACAGGAATTCCTTGGCACTTGAAATGCGAAAGTTGGATGGCGCGACATTGATGTTCCAATAAGATTGCTCTGGCCAAGTTTTTGAACGCGCTGGTGAACCGATAAGATTGCTTTGATTTGCCTGCAACTTTCTTAAAGTAAATCTTTTCTGAAATAGCGCTCAATTAGTAGGGCTTAGGCTCCGTCAGCCCTTTCCGGCTCGAGTACACTAAATTCTAATAACTGCGAGCAGTCAGCTCCTTTCCTCTTCCTTCCCCATTAAGTGATTTGGCGTGCAAAAAAATGAAGGGAGCCGAAGGAGAAGAATACGAAATGGTTCAGAAGTAATGCAAAGAAATTGATATGAATGGACCGAAACTTTTCTGCAAGCTGTACACGGCAAGCAAAAAAACGAGAAGAAATAAAGAAATAAATAAAGGGCAGGAACACGCTTTTTGTGCGCCAGGTGGAGAATTCCGAAGGATTCCAGCCAGGACCCTCGAAAGTGCGCAAATTAATGATTATTTGGGGCCGCTTTTCGTTTCGGGGCAAGAAAAGAAAAAAAAAAAGAAGAGAAATCTCGGTATAATGCAATCAAAGTTGGGTTAATGCCTGGGGGACTGAAGCTGATAACACAGAAAATTAGCAATTTTCCTTAATGTGTCTGTGATTGACCCCAGAGGAAAGTGAAATGAGTTGCGGCCCAGGGGAGAGAATCGCAGGTCCCCCATGTGTCATGTGTAAAAAGTACAGAGAATTCGGCAGTCCCCTTTTCGTGTTTTTTCGACATTATTTTATTGATTCTTCTCGCCCAGCGTATTAAAAATATAAATCAAACACGGAGGCATACGCAAATATATAATTATTCGCGTGGCTTTTAATGAGATCCCCAGCAGGGCTTCTGCTTTTCCATCCGCTCAAGATTTGCGATATCCATTCAGGCGGAAAATGTCTGTGCTCACTTAATTTAACAAGTGCGGAAACGCGCAGCAAACAGGAAAACTCAGGCACTCGCAAATACAAACGCTGCTCCCTCCCGGCTCATGGAACGGAAGCGCCAAGAGAGAAATGAAAGAGCTGTGGCAGATATCCGAGGCTCGAGATACTCTTGCCAGCCAGAAAATACTAAAATAAATGAGCTTAATAAATGTAATAAAATGTAATAAGTTGGTAAAAATGTTGTTTTAAAACATGTTCTAAACAAAAAAGGAAAGTTCATTCGGAAAGCCGAAATTTGCATCATGGCATCAAATCAAAAATCTATCAAAACTCAGTCAAAAATGCTATGATTTCAGTTCGGAATGCTTTCCTATGCTACTTTTTTCTAGGTTAACAAATCTGCACACAAAATTTTTCATTGTAAGATTTTAAAAATTTTACTCATTTTTAAAAATTTGAATGATTTGAAATTCTGAAAAAATCTAAATTTTTTTTGTTTCTTTCTGAGATAGCTAGAAAGACGCGCTTGTTAATGCTGATCAAGAATATATATGATTTGTGGCATTCGAAATGACTGCATCACTAAATAAAATCATTATACTCTTCAGGAAGACCGGAAATACTTAAATTCTTTAAAGGAAATTTATCTAAAATTTTATATGATAATTTCTTTGATAAAAATATCATAACTAAATCAGAAATGCATTAAATTCTATTCTTAAAGCGATTCTATATTTGTTTTTAATAGGCTAACAATTCTGCATACTGAATTTTAGATTTTAAGAAAACCAAATTGCGAAAAAATGGCAACAAATTTTTTATTTATGGGTTCGAAAATTACTTCTTACTAACTTAAAGCATATTCAGTGAATCTTTAATAAGTCCAAGAAACCCCTGGTAGGGAATGTGAACAACGAGCTGAAATTAAAGTTCGAAATGATTTCTGGCCAACGTTTCAAGTGCTGAATGTACTCGAAATTCTCGCTGTTTTTCAACGATTGCTGCATCCTCCTTCACGTCCCGAATTCACCGAGTTCCGCGGACCGAGAATTGCGGTGGCTGTACTCGAAAATGTCTTGTAATTCCAGCAGCTACGAGGGGGAGTGTGTATCTGTGGGGATTTCCGACTGGCTGTGTATACGTTTAATTATTGTAATGCTCACTCTGGCGGATTAAGCCGCTCCGTCATACATATCCACTTGGTTTTGAGTGATGGCCTTGTTTTCAATCAATTATGTGCCAAAACAACTTATTATGATTATACTGGCTAGCCTTCCGGTTGGCGGCATTTCCTCAGAAGGACAACAAAATCAATGCGAAGGTGGTTGCCATCGAATTTCCTGGAAACGAAAAAGGTATTGTATAAGGCTCCTTTGGTATTGCGGTGTCATAATAAGTCTTAGGGTGGCTCAAGGCTCGCAACCTGCCACTGACACAATTCCGCAAATACGGAGCCCTGAAAGTCAAGGAACTTGTCTCCACATGAATAAATTATGCCAAGGAAAACAGCCAAGTACAAATACGAAAACCGAGGCAAGCAGTTTCAGTACAGCGGTAAGGTAAATATTGAGGAAAACCAGGGCTTAGGTGCTGCATTAAATTGATTTTGGATCACTTAAACTTCTGGCAGGGCGATCCCCAGAACAATACTCAGATATTAATTGCTGTGGGAATTGAAGAGCATGAAACAAAATATAAAAATCATACCTGTGTTTGGTTTTGTCTGCCTCCTGCCTCCTCCACCTGTGTCGCCTTGGGGAGCGCAAACAAAATCAAACTTTTTAAGTCACTCGAGTCAAAAGAAAACCAATTTCTGGCATGTTCAAAAACTACTTGAGTACACAAACCTTGGCGCATCGATGGCCCCGAACTCAGACTCGGACTCGGACTCGGATACGGACGCAGACTTGAGATTGGGATTGGGTTCGGATTCCGGGGCTCGGGTTTCGGGTTTCGCCTCGCTTCAGTATTGTCATCGCCTTGTTCTGGCCGGGCCCTCCATTGTCACATTTCTATTATGTGTTTGGGCCCGGTTGCCAGCGGCCTTTGTTGCCTGGTAAATATCCATTTATTTGCCGGCCTGTGTGTGTGAACATTTCAATTTCCTAAAGGACCTGCAGGCCATGGCCGTCCCAGAGTTAGAGCCACATCAAAATAGCCGTCGGCGAGCTTTAAGCATTCCATTAAGGCCGAAGACATGGCAAAATGTACTAGACCATGTATATGTTTTTCTTTTTTCCCTGGCTTCCTCCTGACCTGGCTCAGTGCCAGGCCGTAGACAAAGGCCAAGGCGATGCAAAACCGCAAAAGGAATGTTGGCCGCAAAATTAAAAAATATGTGGCAGAAGGGTTGGCCACAAATGATCTCCATCTCCTCTTCCTGTTAATCCTAGCCTGGCATTATTTTTAATATCTCCTCTTAATGTCTACTTGCAGTGCGATGTTTTCGACGAGATTGATTTATCGGACCTCTGCTATTTCGAGTGCGGTATCAAGAACGTAAACCATAGTTTCCAGGTGAGTTGGAGCGGGAAATGAAATACCCCCTAGGCATAATTGAACAATGCAAAGCCATAAAAATTTAATGTGAAAAGTTTGCCCTTGCTCACTTTGTCGGGCTAAATATTTTATTTACCGCGGGGAATGTTCTCCGCCATCGCCCTAATTAGTTTGCCCGTCTGGCTTGCTTGCTGGCAGTGCTGTGCCCATCTGCTTGGGCCGAGTTATTACCTATTAATTTGGCAAACTTCTAATAACAATTTGAAGATATCTGCCTTGGCCTCGAATATATTTCCAGGACGTGTGATGAGACGGCGGCTGCGAAGAGTAAATAAAACTTGAGACGACTTTGATATCCTGAAGACAGAAAAATAAGCCACCAAAGCAGGAACTTCCTGTTTGTCATTGTCTGGCACATATAGACAAGGGGTCTCCTTTCCATTTTCCCTTATTTTCATACGAGCCCCGGCAAAAGGGGCAACCAGAAGGCAAAAGCCAAACGGAAAACAAAAGAAATCGAAGCAAAATGTTTACTTCCAACGCGGGCTGCATGCCAAATTAGCATAAGTAGGCAAACTCCTGCCAGTTGGGATGCCAACATTTTCCGTTTGCTCCTTTATACACGAATGCGCAACATTCGATGCGGGAAATTAGAGCATTTATATGAGATCTTTGGCAGACGGACTGCTTAGACCCTGAGCTTGTTGCTCAGTCGCGTGAGCCGCCGCCTGGCCAACAATATTTTATTGTAAATATATATATACCCTACAATATATATCTTTATAATATAAATAATAAATTTTACGGGAGCCCGAGCACGGGAAATTGCCAAAAGGCTTTCTCCCTGCCCCTACTCTCTGCCACTCTCTGACTTTTCCTCTTCACTTTTTTCCGAAAATGTTATTAGCGAAGGCGGTGCCCATCATCGTTTTTATTGTCTTTTATCAGTTGAGTTTCCACGGCTGTTGGCGTGATTCCAAAGTGCCCTCAAGCCCATATATGTATGTATAAAAAAGGTGATGCCTGAGCAAGCGAAAGGAGGTATCTCGCCACGCCGCCATTTTGGGGGTTGAAAGTGGAGAAAATCTTAAAGCTGCTGGAACTCCCCGTTGCCGCAAAACTCCGCTTAGTATTTCCCTAAATAAACTCCAGCTCAGCGCGATGTCAGCAGAACTAAAGCGATAAGTGTTTTTTCCCCGCTTTATTTGACAAAATATAAATTCAATTTGATGTGAACAAGGACCGCCCACAGAGCGAAAGTCCTGTCAATGGCAATGCACTGCGAGTCCTCGCGGAGCCCGTCAACAATGTCAGCGACACTATAAACCGCACACAAAGGCGAATACTCGTTGCAGTCGTCAGTGTCACGAAAACATAACGGCAAATAACCCAATGAGTGGAATATTCAATAAAAAAACGAACACAAAAACGAGCTCGTTGCAGAAACCAATTTCCCGTGAAAATACCATAAAAGTTTTCAATCCATCTTGATGCACTTAAGTGCAAAGAGATCAGTTTAGGCGCGGCCAGTCAGGGCGAAATGTGTATACAGTTGGGGCAGGAAAAATAGCACACTTGACTCCAGAAACGGTGTGTAATACCAACAAATAATAAATTATAAATATCCATTCAATAGGCGATATAATTGATTATTAGACAACTAAAACAAAGACAAATTTACATGGTGATTAATAGTTAAATGACTCAATTCCGATTAGTTTTATGCCGGTTATTGGGTATTTCAACTCCTTCACCCTTTTAGGATTTATAATTCAACCTTCTAAAGCTGCTTTAATGACCTTAGCTGTTACTGCCTAATTCCTTTCAAAGTGTCAGCCCTTTAAATTGGTGTTCGGCATTTCAGGCACGTAAGCGACAACTTACTTGCGGCCACGTGCCTCGAAACTTTTCCACTTTTCAGATACAAATAAACAATGACAGAAAAGGTTTAGCAGGGCTTTTGTGCAGCGGTAAGCGGTAAGCGCATTGTTGGCCAATTCCCGAGGCATAGCGTTTTGAGGCTTAAACCGATTGTGGATGTAAGTACTCGTGTTGTTTACAACTTGCATTGGCAGGGCTTAAGCGTCGGCAAAACAACGTGAGCCTGCAACGGGGCGTATGAGTGAGACGGGGCGTATTATGAGACCCACTCATAATGCCAAGCTAACCCCACACCAGCTGATGTTCCATATACCATTTTACTTTACATAACCGAAAAACTTAATCCCAGGCGGCATTGTGAATAACTTTTGCTCTTTCAATCATCAATCTTGGAGATCTTGTTTAGCCAAAATGAAATGGGCTCAGCTGGCGCCATTGTTCGCTGGCTTAGCTATTGTGTGACTGTTCCAAAGAGAAACCTATTACCTTGGCATTATCCAATCACAGATTTCAATTATAAACTTTATGAATTGCATAAGCGCTTGAGGGGCAGGCAAGCACTTGTGGGGAACTAATTATCGGCATCATCCCCTGCCACTGTGGACAAGGACCTCGAACTATTCGATTGCCAACGACAAAGGGCAATCAGACGTGACAGCAAAAATTTGCATACTTCATTCACTTAGCGAGCAATTTTCAAGTGCCTCCCAGAAGGAAACCAAACCAAGCCCAGAAAAACTTTCCGGGAATTTGTAATAGCAATCAACTTGATTGATTGCCCTCGCCACACACATCGTTCGCAGGAGTAAAAAAAAGAAGCTGCGGCATCAATTATGCAAGCTGAAGCTCGACTTTGCTTAATTTCACACCCTGCCCCAGTACCACGCGGCGTATGCTTAATGCGCAATACAGACGAACCTCTTGCCGCTGGTCCCTTGCAAAATGAACTGCCAGTCATGGGGACTTCTCAGACTCTCGAGTGGCGTTTGAAAAATACGCAATAGCCCCTGCTTATCCCAGAACTTAATTGATATCCAAGAACAACAAGAGCACTCAGCAAAGTTATTCCACAGCGTCAAATATTTTCATAATTGAGTATGCCCCCGCATTGGCCCGCTTTGTTGTTCTTTGGCAAATATCAACGAAGTCAGAGGACTCAACAATTGTCTAATTGTTTGATTAAATTTAGCTCTGATTGGGTCCTGGCTTTAAAGGCATAAGGTCAAAAGTGTAGACACTTGACAAAACGTAATGTGGGGCTTCCAAAGAAAATTAGTCAGCGAGTCAGCAGAAACAATAAATTTCTGTTCTGTGGTTAATTAAGAATTGACATTCAGAGCTGTCTTCCCCTTTGCAAGCTGAGTGACTGCTGTGACGACAATTCCTGGAATGCCTTATTAATACATTGTATGCAGGAGTATAGTGGTGGGATGCTTCAGTTCACTTCGCTGCTTCGAGGCTTAAATTCATATTTTATATTCAAGCTTACGAAGGGAGAAATTCCGAAACTCCTGTGTCGTTTATTATTCATGCTAAGGCATACATTACAAAGTAAATACATGCTTGTTTCCAAGAAACGCGTTCAAAAGAAACATAAATGAAAGCACACAAAGCAGTGGATTATTAGTTTTCCCTTTCTCGACCAACTCCCGGGGCGGTCGGGACAGTTGGAAAATAAAAATGTTTAAAAACAATCAAAACAAGTGTGGCGGCGGGCGCACTGGGCCGGCCCCAAAATTTACTTTGTATCGGGCGTTAGTCCTGCTCCAGGTAATTGCAACAGACCCCTCCAAGGTATGAGGCCTAAAGGCTATCCTGAAACATGTCCTTGAACTTTGAAATTTCCCCGAGCACGGAAACTCGTAACATTTTGAGTCATATAAACGTTAATGACAGACGACCGACGAAATAAAAGACATAAAGATCCCAGACAAGGAAGCAAAAATGTGATGGTCGTCCAACTTTGCTGCCAGCTTTATTTGTTCCTGTTGGGATCTTGGCTTATTCCCGGAAAAAAGCCAAACTTAAGGCTCTTTTAATCCTAGAAAATACAAAGTTTCTCTTGAGCATACAGCACAAAAGAGATTTTCATGCCTTTTATTTTGTGAATTAAAAGTAATTACCATTCACTTGCTAATGCAAATGAGAGCCGGAAAAAGTAAAGTCCATTAACGAAAGAATAATTCTTTACTTTCTCACCTTATTTTATTACTACTTCCTGGCCTAAGAAGTCCTTTAAAGGGAATCCTATTTGAAATGCAAACCATTTTGGCATTGAAACATTTTAGCAAAATTAAATTTGAAAAACAGGATGGAACAAGTTGAAGTTTTAACTATACAATTTGGTCAAATGGCCGAAGGGAGGCTATTAATATTTCAAAAGTAATTTAAAAAGTTATCGCTCGCAGCGACGAGCCACTCTTGTTCCTGTCTCTTTTCAGGAATACTAAGTGCAATACGGGGAATATACGCAAATTTGTGTATAATTTATACACTGAGTGTGGGCCTGGCCAAGACAGCCAAACGGTTTTGATGTGCTCGCTGGGGGACAACGCGTCGTATGCGTAATTTGGCTGTTGCTCCTGGTACAGCTCCAGCTCCTGCTCCTGGTGGCGCTGCCGTGGCTCCCTGTCATGAATATTCGCTCGCATGAGACGTGGTGGGCGCCACTTCAGTGTTTCGCGTAATGAATTCTGTCATATATGTAGATTCAAGTGGGAACGGCACAGTGGAAAGAATTCTAAGGAAATGTTAAATACCCCAGTATAAATTCTTGGAAATTAGGCCGAAAACCAATATATAAATGGTATTTAAAATAATTTTAGCACAATTATTTATAATATATTAATAATAATTTCAGTTTTTAGTCTAATTTAAAAGCTCAATATAATACCATTAACATTTTCCCTTATCCGTAATCTCCAGACACTGTCACTATATCTTGGCGGTTTGGTTTTTGTTTATTTTTGTGATTGGAGTGCGTGGCCTGGAGAACTTTGAGATGAGACTGAGGCTTAGACTAAGACTGAGACTGAGTCTGCGGCTGCGTGCTCTGTCAGCAGCTGAGGGCGATATACGGAGCACAGCCAAAGAATTTAATACGATTACTTAGGTGACGCCTGTCTAAGGGCTTAATGGATAAAATTGCCAATTGCTGAGCTGCAAACTGCTTTAAATGAAACAATTAAATTAAGGCAATTCGCCCGTGATGAGTGCATGTTAGGGATAACAATATTCTGTGAAGTGAACTTCAGTTTAATATTTATTGCGGAGAGAGAGAGCAATTGATAGGCATCATTAGTTTCAGTCTTCACCTCTGGTGGAAACAAGGGCCCATTAATTTACATATCAGAAGTCGTAAAACATTTTATTGATTTTTATGAAATATTGAATAAATTTTCGCACTGTCCTGCTGGAATATTTTTGCATCAGCAGGAGGAAAGGGGACACGAAGACGGTGTCCTGTGTGTTGTTGCCAATCCTCGCATATTTCCAGATCCCCACAGAGAAGGACAGTCAGCGACATCTGTCTGTGCCATTTTATACCGCTGTGTGTCCCGCTTTTATGGCCCTCTTTTTTTTTTTTTTTTTTTGCAAATGAAAACCCACAGCGTTGGAGGAGCGCAAAATGCAATCCCACACCGCGAACGGGTCAACAAAGAACTAGTCCTGGCCGAACAGGAATTTATTACTTCGCAGATTGCCTTTGCCCGCTGATTGGTAGAAGTCCCGAGGTGCCAGAGTGCTCTGTGGCTCATAAAAAGTGAGGAGCCAATGAAATATGAAATGGTGATTAACAGCAAATGCGAATGTGAATGCGAATGGCTCCTCTAAGCGATGAAGTAAGCCAATTTTAGTGGATTTTTCATTGTAATTGATGGAAATTAATATGTAATTCCCTAATGGATTCCAAAAATAAATTTTATGGAAATACTGTTAAAAGGAAATAAAGTGCACATCCAAATTGAGTTACCTGGGTTTACAATGGCCCGTTGCAGCTTACACAAAAGTGCAGTTCAAATTCCCAAAAAAAAAAGAAAGCCAGATGAATTTACCGTTATCCGGCGGGCGACTGATGTCAACGGATGGCGGCTGTCAGGCAAACAAACCGGATTTGCGCTTAAAAGCAAATCCATGTTGCAAACGTCAAAGTTGGTTGGGCTGAGGGAGATCCCCTCCCTCCGCTCCAATGTATGCGCAGAGGCACGTGCATTGGGAATCAGTTAACCAGCGCACATTAGACTAATTGAAAAACAGGAAAAGAGCCTGACGGCGATAGGGAGTGCCAGCCACATGGATGGCGATGGCAATGGCGATGATGACGTTGCGGTTGCGGTCGCAGATTAATTGCAACATCGTCTACGCACATCACCGATACCAATTCCTTTGATTGAAAATTCTGACTGGTTAATGCGTTTGGAATGCAATTAGTGGTCCTTGCGGAAGACTAATCGATGGGAATGGAAAGGGGAAAGGGAAAGGAAATGGGCATGTGAATGTAAATGTAAAGGAGGGCATATCAGTATCGCGGCCAAGTGCTGTCGCCACTGTGGGCCAAGTTCACTTGGCTGTCAAAACAGGCCGAACATTGTGCGGTTTATGACACGAAAGTGGCCAATATTGCTTTAACCTTCAACCTTAAACCTGCAACCTCCAACCCCTGACCCACAGCACCCAACTGTCGTGTCAGCTCCTGACATTGGCATGTCAACTGGACATTGCCAGAGTCCTCCTCTTCCGACTGAATGAACTGCACTTGCATAACTCGCTCGAGGAACATTCTTCGCCTGACTTATGGGAGGTCATCTGGCAGCCTTTTCAGGGGGGGAAAGTTAATTAGAAAATCTCATTAAGCATGTCCGGGCATTGAAATTGATTGTGAGGAGCAAACAAAGTCATAACTTAGCGGTGTCTAGACTCAGTGTCCCGTAAGATAACCTGTTACATCAATTACAACTTACAACTACCATCGGACCGCAAAAAAAAGACAGGTAAAAAACGGAGAAAAATACTTGGAAGGACACGTGCGTCATAAATTAGGCGGGAATTAGTACGAGCAGCCGTGGAGCATAACCATCATAATCCGCTAAGGTAGCCCAGAAGGTCGGGTATACTAAATGTGTATGTGTGTGTGGCATGGGTGTGTGCCTGGTGGGTGGGTTATGGCCACTTGAATGGGCTTATAGGGCGGTTTGTCCTACTTACTTGGGCTTGGGTCACGACCATAAGGACAGGAATGGCCCCGCTGTCTGCGCATTACCGTTAACGTGAACATCATTAGCATATTAATGAGGCCGCCTAAAATACATAATAAACCCTCATTTGATTACACAACTAATAAACAGGTCGCGTTTTCCCGCTGAGTGTGTGTGGTGTGCCTGTGTTTACCAGTTGCGGGTTAAGTGCAAATTAGTTTGGCAAAAAAAAGTATGGCATTTGAGGACTTAAAGGGTAGTCTTCCTCAGAATCAATATGACTATTTTTAACAGACCATTTCTTAACTAAAAAACGTTAACGATTTTTAATCTTTAACATATCTTCTTGGCAATTTTTTTAGATAATCACACCCACTCGATCCCTGGTGCTTTGCGCCGAGTCCCGCCGCGAAATGGAGGACTGGCTAGGCAGCTTGAAGACGGCCACGGCCCCGCAGCGGCCGCGGGGAGACAGCTTCCTGATCGAGCAGCATGATATTCTGTCAAACCACCACCACTGGTATGCCACCTCGCACGCCCGCCCCACCTACTGCAACGTGTGCCGCGACGCCCTCTCCGGCGTCACCTCGCACGGACTCAGCTGCGAGGTGTGCAAGTGCAAGGTGCACAAGCGTTGCGCGGCCAAATCCATTGCCAACTGCAAGTGGACCACGTTGGCCAGCGTGGGCAAGGACATCATCGAGCAGGCGGATGGCATCATCATGCCGCATCAGTGGATGGAGGGTAACCTGCCAGTGTCCTCGGTGTGCGCCGTTTGCAAAAAGACCTGCGGATCGGTGCTGCGGCTTCAGGACTGGCGGTGCCTGTGGTGTCGAGCCACCGTCCACGTGGCCTGCCGTCCGCAGATGGCGGTGGCCTGCCCCATTGGACCCGCCAAGCTATCCGTGGTCCCGCCCACAAGCGTCCATTCCATCAGCACGGATGACGCCTGGGATGTGGCCAGTCCCAAGGGAAACTTTTCGCCCCTGCTGGTCTTCGTGAACTCCAAGTCGGGCGATAACCAGGGCGTCAAGTTCTTGAGGCGCTTTAAGCAGCTGCTGAATCCGGCCCAGGTATTCGATCTCATCTCCACGGGCCCAAGCCTGGGACTGCGACTCTTTCGGCACTTTGAAATGTTCCGTATACTGGTCTGTTCCGGCGATGGATCTGTTGGCTGGGTGCTCAGCGAAATCGATCGATTTAACATGCATGTGAGTTGTGGAATATAGTTTAAAAAAAAAAAACATTTAAACATTGACATTTTTAAATCCTCGTAGAAACAATGCCAGGTGGCCGTGATGCCCCTGGGAACGGGCAATGACCTGGCCAGGGTCTTGGGCTGGGGATCCAGCTGTGACGACGACACCCACCTTCCACAGATCCTGGAGCGGTATGAGTCGGCTAGCACCAAGATGCTGGACCGCTGGAGCATTATGGTCTTTGAAAAGGCCATCGCAGTGCCCAAGACTCCCAAGATGTCTATCACCACCGAGCAGGAGGCCCTGCTCACCGGCATGGTGACATCGGCCAATCATCACCTGCGCTTTATTGTGGAGACCAACGACACCCAGACCCTGATAAGCTCCACGCGGAATCTCTGCGACACCGTGGATGACCTGGTGGCCCGCATTTCGGAGCACCACAAAGAAGACGAGCAGCTGGCAGTCAAGTGCGATATCCTGAAGCAAAAGTTGAACATGCTGTTGGATGCTCTGCAGGAGGAGGAGATGGGCGCCCACAGCGGCGACGACTTGATAGCCACTATCAGGAGTCTTATTGCCAGGAGCATTCCGTTGACACCAGGAACTAGTGCCTCCCTGCTGTAAGTGCTTTTTAGAAATATGTTAAATATTATTCGAATTCCGTCTCCCCTTTGACCAGCAATCCAAACATATCAATCGAGAAAAACGAAAAGGACCAGATCAACTCGAAGGAGCGCCGCAACAGCCGATCACTTCGCTCCAGCGAGAAGGAGGCTCTCCAGTGCCGTGCCAACAGCGTTAAGCGAGCCATCTACAACGTGGTGGAGCACTCAGAGCCTGGAAGACCAAAGCGCTACCAACGCAAGCTCTCTATTACGCCCTTCGAGGCATTGAAGCTGCCCACCACCAACTCCGGCGAGTCGACTCCTTGCAGTTCCCCCTTGCCTATAATCCCCCCGATCAACATCATCTCCCCGACGATGGAGACTTCACGGCTCACCTGCATTTCCCCGCTGCCGGATACGCGACGCGACTCCGTGGACGAGAGCTTCTTCAACAGCATCAGTCTGCCGGCTCCGCGGCAATTTGCGGACAGTCGCAGAAGCTCCGGTGTGGAGGTGATCCAAGAGATCGAGGAAGGTGCAAACGGGGAGACAGTGTACCGCAGGAGTCGCATGTCCCTGAGCGGCGGAGCCAACATCGATGATGCTGGCAATCGATTGTCACCCAGCAGCGATGGCGGTGAAAACACGCCCACCGATCGCAAGGTGGACTTCCTGCGGGTACCGATCCTCACGGGTGAACCCATCGTGGATCCTCTGTCCGACTACCGACCCATCGAGGTGTTTGAGCGCACCTACTACATGACGCGGGAGATGGACAAGGACAAGGATAAGGACAAAGACAAGGACCTGGACAAGGAGAAGGATGTGGAGAAGGAGGACAGTATGCCCACCGAGAAGCAGGCCCTGGTACATACTTGTAACCTGCAGGTACCCGGCATTGTCGTAACCCCCAACTCCCAAAATGTATACACAAGCGCCAGTCTAACAATCATTGATACCGATGCACAGACCACCACTGTACGTGTCACATCCTTGGAGGAGAGTTGTCTAATAGATTCTAATAACAATCTTGGAAATATTTTACATTTTTTTTTTAGGAGCAATCTTCCTCTGATGATCTGGGGGGCGAGGCCAGCGATGTCCTTTCGGCCATCAGCAACGAGGAGTGCAGCGTGGCCTCCGAGATATTTGATAAACAGGATGCCGGCCAGACTTTGGGAGATATTATCCAGGTGAGCAATAAGATATTTAAGATAATTCGATGTCCTTATTTCCTCTCGAGAGAAACCAAAATTATTTCTGGAAACCAACACTTGCCTTGTAGAACCTGGACGCCAGCAACTTTACGCACATCGATTCACCCGAGACCAGTGACGAGACGGAGGCAATGCCTGGCGAGAGCATCATGGACGATATTAGCTCTGTCCTGGGCCACGACATAACCTACGCCCTGCAGGACAGCACCCTGACCGACGATACCACCACGCTCTGCTCGGAGCACATGGGTCCCGCCAAGCCGCCGCGCAAGAAGTCCCTCAACGCCCTGGGCCACTCGCACTCTGGTGTGCATCCACGCAGGCGCAACTCCTCGCCGCCGAGGATGCCACGCTTGGCGCGCATGGAGAGCGACGACAATCCGCAACAGTTCGGGTTCGAGAACATTGTTTTCGAGATCGACAACCGGTGCGACGACCAGAAGATGCGGGAGCCACCGCGTTACTGCAGCCTGGCGCAGTTCGTGGAAGGTAACGATATAGCGCGTCAGAGCTTTAAGGTATGTATCCCAGCCGATATGATCCGCTTAAGTTAGCCGTGTACCGTCTAGTTTGTATATACATATATATATATATATATCGAGTATATCTAGCGTTGTTCTGTTTGGTTGTCCAGAGTGCTGAGAAATGGCCACTTATAGTGAACTCTTTGTTGCTCTCCGTTTGCTTCTTTCTTCAACTTTTCTTTGTCGACCATCGATAATCAATAACTGATATCTAACCCGCCCAACTTCTAACTAACCACCATCTGAAAAATAACAAACAATCCTACAATGTACAAACTCCATCGTCTACTAACCACAATCCAGCGTCCCAAAAAGCGAATCTCTCTGAAAAAACTGAAAACCACTTCAACCAATGCAATCGTATCTCAACAGCAGCTAATGCTAGATCAACATCGAAGCAGCGACAACGATAACGGAAACGGAAACGGGATACGTAACGATTCCAATAACGATAACGATGACCCCGATGCCCTGCAAACGCCGACGAATAACCCGGCCAATTTACTGGCCACCACCAGCGAGGACGAGCTGTCCACGCAGACGGCCATTAAAATAGAAATTCAAGACGTTGATGCCACTGTGCGCAACGCGACTATCCACGGCAATAGCAACTCTATTTTGACCACTTCGACATCGCCCACCAAGAAATCGGGCCATGGACAAGATGTAAAGCGCATTACTTTTGATGAGTCGTGTAAGAAAGAATCCTTTGATGATGTAAATCCCAACTATCCACAGATAAGTGTTGTTGTGAGGCCGCCGACGCCGTTGCGCGGCGACTCCGTCAAGCCCTCGGGTTCAGGTGCAGGTGCATTGCTGCCTGGCGGAGCCATGTCCGGCGGCGCCATGTCCATGTCAGTGTCCATGGCCTGCTCCGGTTTGCTGGGTGTGCGGGCCATGAACGCCTCCGAGATCAGGCGCCACTCGAGCCACGCCCCCGGGTTAGCTGTCCGCGAGTTCGACAAGGACAAGGATCGCCGGCACTCGGGCTTCAATCCCAACCAGCTGACGCTGGACCCGGAGCATGCGCGATTCCTCAGCAGCTCGCCGGCAGCCAGTCGCCGGATCAGCTGCGGCAGCCTCTTCAAGGTGAGTTCTCCATGTGCAAGCCAAGACCTCCTTCTGTCCGCCTTTCTACGACTCGAACCACACATGGCACACATCTTAAGTAAAGTGGCATAACTAGAAACTTTTCAATTTGATTGCACACCAAAGAATTTTAGAAAGGTTTGATAAGAAAAGGGGTGTAATGGCACAATAATATCACAAAGTATATTGCTAGGAATATAAAATTTATCAGCTCATTTATCATGATTTAGCAGTTTATTTCAAAAATAAAGTCATTGAAAATAGACACAGTAAAGGTAGCTCAGTGACTACTTAGACTAACTTAGTGTTTTCTTTAAATCCAAACTTGCAACTAATAAAACAATAATAATGCAAAGCAATATCTAAGAGATCAATCTGAGGACACTCTTGATCCTATTTTTTAACAGATAAAATATATAATCATCGGCTACTATTGTTTATTGTGATTTAGGTACTGTTTCATAGATGCCAGAATGAGATTAAAATCCTTTCCATGATATAAAATCTGCATGTCCGGGGGATATAGGATCCTTGGTTTAACCGTTCATACACCACCCTCAAGGTAATCAAAAATTAGCCACACTTTTCAACAAGTCACTCAATAATATAAAACGAAAATAACGAGTTGTGCCACTTTAGTTAAGCGCGTGCAACATTTTCGATTCACATTGGCACCGCATCGTCGGCAGTTGCGAAGTACTTGAGTTTTGATTGTGTCAGGCGAGCAATTGGTGTCAAGTGCAAATGCAGGTGCAAGCGCAGGTGCTGAATGCACTCCTCATACAGCCACACACTAACAACAGCGACTGTAGGTAATGGTTCGTACAAGTAATGCCCAGTCAACCACCAACCAGCAGGGAGTTTTGTGAAAAATAAAGATAAAAATTAACTGGATTAATTTTTTAATCCTGGTATTCAACCGTTTTTAGTTTGCAGTTTACACAAAGTTTGTTTTATTTGAAGCGAAGCATTTTGTGCAAGTCACGGGGAGTTCATAACCAAAAATGTGGATTAAATGTTAAAAACTTTGCAACAAATTAGCTAAATTTTTAATTACGAATTTAACTAAAAGTTTATTTTCCTCGAAAATTATCATTATAGACAAAAAACTATTCAAAAATCGTACAAAATGCTTCAAATGTTTATGTATTTGCTACCTTATGCCTTTTTACCTGAATTAATTCTTACGTTTTAACAACAAATTTAAACAATACAATATAAAACCGACTAGAACCTTGTATATGATTTACAAAAAGCACAAAAATAATTGGTATGTATTTCAAAATTAAGCCAAATATATGAATTTTTGATTTAAATATACTTTAACCGACACTCAAACTCTTCACCAAGAACACAACAAGACACCGTTTGAACATTTCAGTGTAATAAAGTATACACCCACCCACTCACATAATGTAAATGCAAATCACACACGAAGCTACATAAACACGAATTTTTAAAAGCAACGTTATACTAAATACATTTTCTTAGAAGAAAAACCAAAAGGTGGCCACCAAGCGCGGCTACGGATTGTTCAGTGTCCGGTTCTTTGTGGTGGCGGAGCCCGATATTCGCCTGGCCACCTTGGCGCTTATCAGGCCGCTGATTCCTCTGGTAAGCCAGTCCGGGACTGGGTCCTAAAAGCGTCCTTTGTGTTCGAATCCCCCCAGCCGTTCAGCGTTCTACCGTTAATTCAATGTTTAAACCCCCCAGCAAGTAATAAAAAGAAACTGGAGCTACCGATAAATAATTTGCGATTGATTCTCGGCATTCCGAGGTGGAGAAACCCTTTACAAAGAAGTAGAAGAATAATTTAACTTTAAAAATCTGTTAAAGTCCGTTTCATATCTTTTAAAGTTCTTTTAAAAAAATAAATGCCTTAAATAATTTTTGTATTATTATTCTATCAAACAAATAACAAATCTCTTTTTAGGCTGATAAATATTTAGAATGAATTCTTTGTAAAGGGTCCCCCAAACAGCTTTAAACTGCAATGAATCCCTTGTACAAAGCGTCTCTTTCAAATGCCAGTTGCAGTTGCCGATCCTTAGCACCTGCGTCAGTTCGCTTTTGAGTAGTGTTGCAAAGTTCCAAATAAATCAACAAACACCGTTAACCAACACCCAAACTTAAACAACAGACATGCGTAGCCTCTGCTTAAAGCCCGACCATCTATGATTTTATTTTGAGTTCTTCGATTTATGTAGTGCGCTGCCTCCTATGCTCTATCCTCCGCTCACTCACTCTCAGTAACTCTCTCTCCTACTCGCTCTGTCCCTCGAATTGTACTTACCAACCCTGCGTCAGTAATTGCAAGACACCCAACACTGGCACACTCACCCACAGATCCACACTCGATCACATCCACATGTTTTCTTGTATCGTAGTTAGTGCTGACTTTCCAGTTGCTCTTTGACACGTACTCGACTTTCCCGACCTCTGTTTCCGCGACTGATCGCCGCCTCTCTCTTGCAGCCGAACGAAGCGCTCCCGAACCTCCAGACCCTCAAGGGCTCCAAGTCGAGCCTGTTCATGGGTTCGACCTTATTTGGCTTTGATCATTTTGCCGCCGGAGACAAGGACAAGGAGGAGAAGGCCGGCAAGGACAAGGAGAAGACGCCCACCGAGGAGACCAATCGCAAGCTGCCCATCATCAATCCCTTGGTGCGGCTCCCCAATTGGCCAAGTAAGTTTCTTCTTCACAATCCTTGAAAGAATTCGTCCTGTAAATTAAATTAATTCATGGCTTCCTTTATTTTCACAGACCTTGCCAATGGCGGTGGTTTCATTTCCAAATGCCTGCTGGCCAATGCAGATACCCTCTGCGCCGCTGTTAGTCCCCTGATGGATCCGGACGAGACCCTCCTGGCCGGTTACCACGAGAAGTGTGTGATGAACAACTACTTTGGCATCGGCATCGATGCCAAGATCTCGCTGGATTTCCATAACAAGCGGGAGGAGCACCCGGAGAAGTGCCGTTCCCGGGCACGGAACTATATGTGGTACGGAGTCCTGGGATCCAAGCAACTCCTGCAAAAGACCTGCAAGAATTTAGAGCAGCGCGTGCAGCTGGAGTGCGATGGCCAGCGGATTCCACTCCCGGAACTCCAGGGCATTGTTATCCTGAACATACCTAGCTTCATGGGCGGCACAAACTTCTGGGGAAGCAGCAAGAAGGACGACATCTTCCTGCCGCCGAGCTTCGACGATCGTGTCCTCGAAGTGGTGGCCGTCTTTGGATCCGTGCAGATGGCCGCCTCTCGGCTGATCAATTTGCAGCATCACCGAATTGCCCAGTGCCAGAGTGTGCAGATCAACATTCTGGGCGACGAGGAGATCCCCATCCAGGTGGACGGCGAGGCCTGGCTTCAGCCGCCGGGAATGATCCGAATCCTGCACAAGAACCGTGTGCAGATGCTGTGCCGCAACCGGAGCTTGGAGCTCTCACTGAAGAGCTGGCAGGAGAAGCAGCGCCAGCACAGCATCTCCATCCAAAGGGATGCCTCCTCCACGGCCTCGGAACACGCCGCGTCCACGGACGAGGTGATCTCAGAACGGGAATGCTACGTACTCCTCAACTTCATCGAGGCAGTTAGTTCGTTGGTCAAGTGGGTCAAATTCCTGATCATCTCGCATCCTGCCCTGCAGCATGATCTTTACGAAGTGGCCTGCCGTGCCAGTGAGGCTTTGGAGTCCATTCATCCGCAGGGCAAGCTCCTGGAAGGCCCCTCCTTACGCACCAAGCTGGTGGAGGTAATCGACTCCTCGCGCCAGCTGTACGATGATGCTTGCACCCTGCTCCGGGATCGGGGCCACAGCCTGATCCTGCGGGAGGATCTGGAGACCAAGCTGAGCGCAGCCCTGGCCAACATGGAGATGGAGCTGAAGAAGTGTTCCGTGCAGAAGTGCATTGACGGCAAGCTACGCGCCTACTTTAATGTCTTGGCGCCCAACGAGGAGGTGAGTGGCCCACACTCTACGATTATTTCCCATTTGTAATTCTTCTCTTTCCATTACACAGCCCGATGGTCGCCGGAAGTCTCGACCCTTCTGGGTGCGCCTTCGCTCCGGCTCCACAGCTGGACAGCAGGCGTTCAAGCCCCCTCTGACCAATACCCGCGAGGCGGCCAACAACTGGAGTGTCAACGAGGTGGTTACCTGGCTGGAGACGATGCAGCTGTCCGAGTACGTGGATAGCTTCCTTAAGAACGACATCCGCGGCAAGGAGCTGCTCACGCTGGGGCGCCGCGACCTCAAGGACCTGGGCGTGGTCAAGGTGGGCCACGTCAAGCGGATACTGCAGGCCATCAAGGACCTCAGCGAGAACTAGAGGGAGCCAGCGTCCCCCGCGGACAACCGGCTAGTACAAACCAATCAGTCTTCGAATCGCACTCTTAGAGTTGAGGGGGAATAATATGCGTTGTATAGTTGTAAGCCAGCTGCGGGAAAGTACGTTTTTTATGGGACGACAAATGCATATAACAATCACTAATTTATAGGCTAGCTTAGCTAACGAAAAACACACGTGTCACGGCAGGGGGAAAGAGTGATCACAACTAAGCTGACATAGATCAGTTTCGGTTGGATAAATTCGAAAAAATTCTACGATAACAATATTGATATAGCAAGTACCATTAAGCCTAACTGATCCGACAAAGTCAAGAGATTTACATATTGGAATGGCGGAGAATCGTAGGTCCAAGTTTGAGGCAGAAAGGTAAGACACCTGAAATTGATTTTCACATTTCTGCGTACTTACTATGTGTTAAATTCAGACAAACACTACACATCGGCGGTTAAACGAATTTAAACGTAGTAGCACTTGCGATAACTAAACCAAAAAAACAAAAACAGAATTAGATCCTAAGTGTTTAACTCTCAACTTACGCTTATATTAAAGAAACCTTACGAACCCCAGTCCCGAGCGAATCTAAAGAACCCAATTAAAATCCCAAATAACCGACTTACCCTATGATTCTAAATTTATAAGCAATTTAAATTTTACAAAATTAAAGAAGCGAGGAAACGGCTAAACCAAAATCATTCTCAAAACAAAATTGTATTAATTGTATTTACACACATACCTATAGATATTCGAAACAAAATTTAAATGTTTCCCCACTATATTGTTGAATCGGAATGATTATTAGCATTATGCATATGCATGGGCGGGATTCGAAATGGAAACTCGTAATTGCAACAAAGAAAAGTCTGTTAAACGTGTCATTTTTTGTGGTAACCAAAAGCAACTCTAACTTGTTTATTTAAATGAATTTAGTTGATAAGTCCACGATGTTTTTTCAAGCATAAGTTTAGGTAAGATCCTCTCGATGGTCCCGGTGCCGGCTGCTGGGACCCGGGAAATTCATTTGGTACTATATACAAGCATATGGAAAATCTTAGCTAGCATTCGGAACACTGAGATCGGTGTTCGGAACCCTTTTGGTATACCTTTTAATTGTTTACATTTAAGCTAAGCCAAGTGAGAAGCAACCACTTTTATCAAAACATTACAAGTGTTAGGAACGAAATTGTGCTAAATTTTTATAGATATCGACCTTCAGTTATGTTACTCCCTCTCTATCTCTATCTCTGTAAAGGAACATATAAATATAGCTGCATATGAGTAGGTTTAGAGCCTCCGCCGATCTATCTGACCCCTATATGTTAGCCCATTCTCAAATGTTTGCTCAAGTTGCCTCCAATTGAGTGAGTTTTTGAAGTGGCATAGCTCTAGGCGAGCGTAGTCTATAACAAATCACTTGAGCGACGTCTATAAATTATATTTTTTGATATATAAGTATAAATGAGCCCAGACCAACTCGATTGATTTGTTGTGATCCTACCGGAAACTTCTTTTCAGACCGCACCAGTAGCAATCCGATGATTTCTAAATATTTTGACACACATTTACGAAGCTATTTACGCTTACGAACAACATAAATGATAATTAGAATTAGAGCCAAATAATACAATGCAAATCCTTTGATATAATACGAAAGACAACATTAAATAATAGAAAACACATTGAAACATTTTTTCGACACATGTATTTTCGAGCAAACTTTAAGCGAATTAAAACCAAAATTAAACTAAATAAAATACAAATTAAAGGAAAATGTATAAGTTATGTGTGTAAAGAAAAACTCTAATTGGCAATTGACATTTGTGAGTTTCTTCGTTTTTCCCCCGACACCTCTTATCATACCCCTTCGTTTTGTGTTCTTCTTTTTAAAAATACTGTGATAACAGCTTTCTATATTCCTGTAATAAAAATCTAAACATAAATTTAACAAAATAACTCATAACATAACTCATGAAGTGCAATGAAAAATTAACTATGAAGTCTTATAAATAGTTCGTCTACAATCAGCAAATAGGTAATGCCTACGAAAACGATTTACCAGCAATAAATGTTTAACAATATATTTATACAAATATTTTCAAAATACTTACTTCCCAGCCCCCAGAAATGACAAATGTAAAAAGATCTCTCCACATAAAACCAATCGATAATACAGTTAAGTGAAAAGTAAACCATAAAGCAACAATATCTCCCCTCAAGCATAATAATAGATCGACTATAATAGAAAACATTTTCTTGAAGAAAACCTAATAACAGCAATAATAAAAAGCAAAACAAAAACAAAACGAATTGGTTTAATTCTTAATGGAAATTTAGCAGGGGTAAGTTGTAATTTAAGAAATTAAACAGAGCCTTTAAAACGTTTATATGCATTTTTCATTTATTCGATTCATACAATGTTATACTCATTTTTACCATCACTTGTTTTTTGGGTTTCTATTTTATTTTTTAATTTGTCGTCGTCTTTTATATGATTTGGTTACTTTATTCAAAGTACATTTATAATTATATTATGTCGTGTTATTTAGCATTTCTATCAAGGCTATTTGGTGTGCCTTCTTATGACAATTCAGAGAAATTATCAATTGGGTTGTATTGTTACTTGTTTTATTGCATTTCTGATGAGGCTCGTTAATTCATTAAAATTGTTGGCGCATTTAGGCGTGAAAGTCAATGTCTAAAATTGATTTAATTGATTGGTGTGTTTATTTCTGATTTTATTCTCATTATTTTGTTTAGCTTTGTGACTGAAACGGAATTGGAAAATTCTTATTGCTTTGACTTTCATATAAGTGTCTATAAAAATCGATTTATTATTTTTCATTTGGCTTTCGAAGAAGCCTGAGTAGTGCGCCTTTTTCGGATATAATTTGTTGGGGGTTAGGTTTCCATTTGCTTTTATTTTCCATTTCATTTCCTTTGTAAACAAGCTAGAATATATATATCAAGTTCGTTCTTAAGTAGATTCATATTAAAGTTGCCTAAAATTTGTTAAGTACGATATTTAAAACTAAATGAGTTCAAGAGTCTACCGCTTGGTTGTGTTTTCATTTATCAAATTTTAACTTGAAATATAGTTCTTTTGTGTGTGTGTGTGTGTGAATGTGTGCACTTCCTGTTTGTTTCGGTTTCGGTTTCGGTTAATTCGGGTAATTTGAATCTTTAGATTGCCAGAGAGTTTAGTTTAGTTTAGTTAGTTTTGCTTATGTGTCACTTGTAACCTATGCTTCTGGCGTGATCAAATCGGTGACAATTCTAGGACTGAGCGTAATAAACAATTTTTGTTCTTTGGGGCACTTGATAATGGGTTATATTCGATAACTATGTATAGGGTTCAGTAAATCAACTCATCGATTTCAACTAACAAACAGGTCCTTCCATGAAAAACATATAAAAAATATTCAACTGTTTAATAAATACCATTGACGTGTCATTATTCCTCCGTTTATTTTTTTTGTTATGTTTATTTGTGTTTTTGTTTTTTATTAAAAATATATATAGGCAAGCAACAATTAAGCTCAATACTGAAGTTAATCACACAACAAATGGGCAATGAAATTTTAACTTCAGCTTACAAAGTTTTCTCATTTTTGTATCTTGTCTTGTTTTTTTCCTTCGAGAAGTTTAACATTTGGGCCTTTCACCTTGGCAAAAGAAAAGGATCTGGCGAACCGAGCTTCAACTGGTACTTAGTTTGTACTGAAACGCTGTCTACACTGAGAGATATGAAGAAATGAAAGCCAACAAAATGCTCGTACAAATTACATCAACTTTCTCAAAGCTATTGCCCCTTTGGGAAGCATTCGTCTTAATCATTTTAACGCTAACTTTACTCAAAATCTGATTAAATCGATTAGATTTACCTTTCAATTGTGGTCTCTCGACTATTTTCACATACACGTAGTAGTTATGCAAGAAGTGTACGCAAGTCTGAAACTAGTTTCACAGCTTTCCAAAGCATTATCTCTTTTTCTTATATTTTCATTTGCTATATTCCTTGTAATCTGTGTGTGTGTGTTTGGTGTTTAACCATCGGTTGCCTTAAGTTTCGTATTAGCCAAAATGTATCTTAAATTATTCTTAACATCTTTTGTTGTCGTAATTGGTATTTTTCCATTTTGTAATTCATGTGCAAAATCTATTATCAACTTTTGGTATTTGACGGATCAGCGGTATAGCCTAGATCACCTTATGCATTACCCAAATATACGGCTTGGCTTGCTCAACTAATGAGAGTTACAAAAATGTGAGTATACCTCCGGTCCGTCCGGTCGAATGGCCTCACTTTTTGGACGGGTCTTTGCGGTGATGTTTGTCCCATTTAATATTTGTTTTCACTATGACTGAATGATATCGAAATATTGCAAAGTTCTTGGGGCTTAATTGCAAAGTAAACAACATTCGGTTCGATTATGTTGTTGTTCTTGTAGTTGTTGTTGGGTACAGGCAGTGAAAGTGTCTTACATAACAAAATTTTGGGTGATTTGGGGCTATAGTTAGACATTAGATGAGATTTGGCCTGATTACATTTGCTTGCAGCATTCGAACTGGGAAACCAAAAGCTAATTTTGCCATGGATTCAAGCTTAGTCAAAACGGGATTTCTCTTGGGCTTAGTTCCTGGTTCCATTACAATAGGGATTGTATAAATATTAGAAAATTAAATGATAGCAATTTCTATTAAGTTTGAAATAAATAATCATTAAAAATTAAATATACTTAGCTCAATATAAATTGCTATTAAAATTTCTTTATTGTAATAGTTTCCTTATCTTTTGTGCAACAAAAGTGTTTTTGAAACGTACATCTCTTAATACTTTCCACAAGCCCACATATTAATTTCAATTATAATTAAAATTTATTTCAAATTAATCAAATTGAAAATATATTTGTTGGGAAATAATGGAACCAGGCCTTCAGATAGTTGATAGATGTGGTGTATATTTTTAGGGTATTGCATAACGTCTATTACGTATCATTATTACTTGCTTTCAAGGGCCAACTAACTGACTGCCTTACGGAATACATTTTGCACTTGAAAAGCACTGCGTATTGGATCTAATGGGATCTCGTCTAGACGCTCTCCTCCTTGCTGGCGCTGCTGCTGCCCCAAAATCGATCGAAGCGGTCGCGGGCCTTCTCCAGGACCTCGGCGGCGGTGGTCCTGGCGGTCGACGCAGTGCCTGTCGACGATGAAGACGACATGGCCGGATCCGGCAGCTGCTGCTGATCCTGCGGGGGGGCAGTGCATCGCACGGCGCCGCCCGGCTGGCCGGTGGGCGTGGCCAGCGAGTGAGGCGTCAGCGTCTTGCCGTAGACCGCGGCGGCACTGGCGGTTGGACTGTTCGACTTCCAGGCTGGCGGCGTGAATGGCAGTGGTCGAGAGAAAGAGGTGGGGGAGGGGGAGATATTGTGGAAATAGTGTTCGTTATGTTACCAAGGTCTAGGGTACGGGTACGGGTACGGGTAACGCTATGTGATTGCATTGGCTTGCACAATTGCTTTTGGCTTAATACAGAGAGCGGGGAACTTTGCATTTATTTACGCTTATCGAGATTGGTTTTTTGGCTTGATTTGTTGGTGTGGGTTTTGTTTTTTCTTTTTTTTTTTGTTTTGGATTTAAAGAAGTTGGAGATTGGCTAACGATGATTCGATTTTTGGATGATGGTTGTGAGTAGCGATACATACATATACATATACAGATACATATATTTAGATACGAGTTAATATATAAATATTTGTAAAAGCGATTCGACTTTTTGTGTTTTATTATTTTTTTTTAAGTTTTTTTTTATTATTATTTTTTGTTTTTTGTTGACTTCATTTTGGGTTTTGCTGATGCTTTTGGTATGGAAGTTTTGCGTTTTTTATTGAAGCGTGCTTAATGGCTTACCGTCCATTTTAGCCTGTTCGGTTAGTTGTGGCGGTGCCGATTGCGGTGGCGGCGGTGGCTTCTCCACCGGTGTCGACGCTTTAATCTCGCTCTGAGGTCGGCTGTAGTTCTCCCCTGCGAACAAGGAAATTTCTAAATTAGTAAGCGTGTTAATGCACTTTGCAGGCTTTGAAAATATCACTCTCCCGATAGGGAAGTCTACGTTACCATCCTTGACATTCTGCGTGACCGTAAAGGTCTTGCCAGTGTCTAGGGGCACCGTCCAGTTGACTGGATCGGGTGAGCGCATGATGATCTGCTCCGGGGACTTGACCCTGGTGGGTTCTGGTGGGGACTTCACCAGGGGCTCCTCGGGCACTTCCGGCACGGGGGGCTGTGGACTGCAGCTGGAAATGGAAATGGCAGTCTCACGGCCGTCCTCGGCATCGTCTGTTGGTGGTTCAAAATATCCAGGAGAGATTATAAATTTCAGTTCCAACCAGTGTTGGGGATTATGCTTTATGGAATTAACTTGATTATAGGCGCATTATATGTTTGAGTTATATCATTATGCTGCCGTAGCTGTTGATCTTCATAGATATTTTTTGATGGACTTGTCCATTTTTCTTGTTAAGCAAATTTTGTGTTTGAGTTTTACTGGTTAGTAGTTGAAACAAAGAGGTAAACAAAAAGTTTGTATTGGTAACATAGTTTGGAAACCAAAAACGGAATGGAACTTAGACAACTTAGGGATATTAAGCTAGAAGCTTAAAAGGCAACAAATTGTTAGTAGAAACCAAAGGAATTCTTTTTATTTATTTTTCTTTTTTTTTTTTTTTTTTTTTTTTTTTTTTTTTTTTTTATAAAGCGCACAACATGAGAGAAACGGCATGCCACAAATACACAAACAGACACGCAACATGTAAATGCGAAGAAGAGTAATAAAAGTTTTGATGTTTTTTATTTGATAAATATATAATTTGTATTAATTTTGATTTGTTTGTTTGTTTTTTGGTAATAGGTTGTTTTTTTTGAGCAGGCAACAAATAACGCTTCGACGACAGTTGGCATTTTTACCTTTACCTCTTAAAAGCTCTATAGACACTTAAAAAGTGACTAAATATCCTTTTTCGTGACCCCTTTGAAATATTTATGATAAATACTCCTAGCTCAAGTGATTATTGGTGTGGAATGTGTGTAAGTTTTTTGAAACTATGTATTTAATTCTAAACCAACTCCTAAAATTAAACCGTTTCTATTCGATATATATCTATTATAATATCCCTCCAACATTTTAGCTAATTTATTACTGTGTATTAAGTATTTAGTGTTCTTTGTGTAATTTTGTATGACATTACATACATTTTCTAAGGGATTCTAGAGTAAAAATGCTTTACAAATACATATGTACACAGAGAAAAAAGGAAAATAGAGTAGAGTGATTCGATATCATGAAACATAACTGAAAGAAAAGGACTACAAATGATGAGGCGCATGTGACAACGGTATTCTAGTACAGTTTGCTTATACAGATATACAGGAAATACAGACACACGGCTGGAAACACAACATTTACAAACATTTATTACAACAACAACTAACATTTAATAACAACGCATTTTTATCTTTGGGTTTGCCCACAATTTCTAGCAATCAGGAATTTGGAATTTGATTAAATTTTATTGTTTTTCATTTCTCTCGGTGTTTGGTGATTGAATTTTGCATTTTTTACACGGGCAACCAGTGGAATAACGAGTTACTAACTAGGATATAACAATATTAACTACAATTTTGTACAATTCGTAATGCCAATCTATCGAAAACCAACGCACACACATGATTCCACATGGCTCCCTCAGGGGAAACAAACATAAAATACACTGAAACACACTAGTTGTTCATTCAATGGTGGGGTCCAAATGGATGCCAATTGGTAAATCATAAGCTTGATCACTTTTGCACTAAATTGTGGACGAACAGTCTTGGCCAAGGTGTAAAATGCTGGATTATTAATAGCGTTTTTACGAGTTATTTTTTTTTGGGAAAGTATTCGCTTTGTTAAGTTTTACAAAAGTTGCAACACAAACATTTCGCGCATCAGATGTACTTTTACAGCATTTTCCGTGTATTAATTTTATAGTTTTTTCGTTAAGTGGATTTTATTTTTTTTTAGTTTAGTTTTGATTTTGGGATTATTGCAGAATTTGATTTGATTCGTTTTTTGTTCAAGTTCAAGTTCAAGTTCACGGTGAAACTTTACTCACTTTCAGCCAATTTTCTTTCCTGACCTGGTACCGTTAGCCGTTTGATGTTGATGGTCGCAGGACGTTTGGGGGTTTGGGCCGAGGATGTTGCCAATGTTGCTGATGCTGCTGCGACCTCTGATGTTGCAGCAACATCGGATTGCTGCTGCTGTTGGGGTTGATTCTGTTTCTGTTGCGGTTGCTCTTGTTGTTGCTGTTGATTTTGCTGCTGATTTTGCTGCTGATTTTGTTGTTTTTGCTGTTGTTGTTGTTGTAGTTGTTGTTGCTTTTGTTTATTCTGCTGATGCTTGACACTATTTGTATTTGTACTGCTACCGCTACCAGCACCAACTTGACTACCAATGCAACTAATATTGGATCTATCTTTGTCTTTCTTACGCATTTGTTGTTGCTGTTGGGCGGTTGCTGCTGCTGTTCTGTTGCCGCTGCTGGCCCTGCTGTTGCTCTTGGCTTGTGATGGTTGTGATTGATTGATTGCATGATTAGCGTTTAAGGCCGATTTAGCTGCTGATGATGCTGTAGCTGCTGCGGCTGCTGCTGCTCGGGCTGCTGCAGTTGCTGGCGGCGCAGAGGCTACTCTACCGTTGGGCGGTGGCAGGGAACTACTTTTAATGCGGGATTGGAATGTTGTGGATAGGGTGGCTATAAGAACGTAAGCAGTTTTCGGTTTTGGTTTTTCGTTTTTGTTTTTTTACGATGATTTTTTGTTGTCATTTTTCATATTTTTTTTGTTATTTTATGTTTTTTTTTTGAACCGAAAACAAAACGCACGTGAAAGAAATTATTAAATGTATTTTCATCAGAAATGTTTTTATTGGAATTGTGACAAGTCGAGAATGCATTTAAAGCAAAGGCTTAAAAATGTCCCAACAAAAGGAGTTTGAACGAAAGGAAAAGCATAATGAACCAAACATGAAATGCGGTTAGTAAGAGTACGCTCTACCCATTTTCTGGTTTTGGTTAGTTATTATTACTACTTAAATCAAGTCGGTAACAACTCAGGTTTGCAGCTATTGAAAGGGAGGACACATTGTTGGCTTGGGGACCCGAGATATGAACGCAGGACTTACGGCAAAACAATGGAGAACCCCAAATAGACTGACCGTTATTTTTACAAACATATGTTACAGATATATCCAGGATGTAAGCCAACAAAGTCATACTTAAGGTTAGTTGGAGGATAACGGAATACAAACTAAAACTCGAACGATTTTTAGACACAACACTGAACTGGAATTGTTAGTTTTTGTTACTTTTTTACTTACTTACAGATAAGTTTAATTGGATTATGGTTTTAGTAGTTTAGTTAGTTAGTTATTGAATTTGTTGTTAGTAATGGTTCACTCAACATGCTAAACTATAGATTGTTATGTACTCGAAAGACCAATCAAACGCTGCATTACAGAGAGAACAGTGATCGAAACTCAAGGGGTAACGAATGGGAATATAAAACAAAAAATGTAACTGCATGACCAGAGACTAAACTAACAAAACTAAAGGGTAATTGTTAATTATTTTTCAACTATGTTAGGTTTTGTTAATTGTTTGTTTAGACACTCAACTAGATGGTCGCTCGAAATATAAGTTTTAGATTCAGAGGAACGCACAAACTGGCGACGTGATCGGTAAACTAAACTAAACTAAACTAAAAAAACTAAGAACTAAACTAGGACCAAATCCAAATCCGGCAACTAAAACCAAATGAATGCGAACGAAACGAGGCAACGGAGAATCGGAACGCAATCTAAGTAACACATGACATATGCAAACTAGGACTAAATAAATAAGGCAATGGTCGCCTCGCAGCGATCCATCGAACTGAACTGAGTCGAACTGAGTTTTGGGTATTTTGGCGGAGGGATTTTGTGGGTCTTGCCTCCGCTAAATTGGCTACTTACATGGGCGCGCCTTGCGTTCGCTTCCGCTTCCGGTTCCGGCTATCGGCGTCTTTTTACGGCTCGTGGGCGCCTGACTCGCCGACCGGATCTGGCGCTTCGGTGACTCATTCTCAGCAACGCCCGGACCCACGGATTGCGAGCGGGCTGATCACCACATCACGCACATGGACACAAAACCGGATGATACGGATGCGTATACGGATGATGGATTCGTTTCGTTTCGGTTTTGGTTTTTCATTTTGCATTTCGTTATTAATTTCGATTTTGTTGTATGGTTGGTTGGTGGTGGTGGCGGTTTGATTGATGACAAAAGTACGATTTGTATGTTTAATTTCAATTCGCATTTAGCTAGAGAATTTCTTAGTCGCTGTGTGTGTGGCTCTCTACTGGTGATAGTTGTGTGGGTGTTTTAGGTGAATTTATAGTACAGGATTCATCATGGCAATGAGCTACAACTTAGGCTTTCAAAAATATATGCTGAATGCATTTCAAAGACGTAAAAAAAAAATATTATAATAATCTCGGTTTTTCGGTCTTGGAAATACTCTTTTAATCAGCAGGCTTGCAGCTTATACTTAAAGTAATTTTACAATTTGTAAACTATACCTTTGTATATATATCTCAAAAATATCCTACTATCTTCTCAAGAAACAAAAATCCCTAACTATGAAGTCATTCAAGTCTTGAAATATATAAATAATTATTAGGCTTAAAATAAAAAAGTTTTCATGAAAAAATATGCTAGTATTTAAATAAAAATCTAGTTTTTCCCACAGAAAATCATTTAAGAAAAGGAAATATTCCCGAGCAAGCTGCTTATATCCAAAAAGTAAAGCCAGGACCAACTGAAGCCATGTTCAGCCACATATCTTACATATTTACACAACCCAGCACGTACATGGTATATACATAAAAGCAACATGAATGTAAGATGGAAATAATCTGTTCACTGTTTTTAGCAAATAACCTTAACTTACAAATACACTTGGAGATGGACTCCAATACTTAGCGCATAAGTATCTGCAAAATGGTTCTCTAGAAACACAGTCTTATAGTAAGTCTAGGACATGAAATGCAACTTTCAACTTTCAACTGATTTTGACAAATAAATCCTCGTAAAAAAATTAGAAAAAAAAAATCATATTCAACAAGAAACTACATTAAGAGTGTGCACAAATCTCATAGCCCAACAAGTCTTCGGTGCACTTGACAAGGATGAAAGTCGAGACGACTCCTTCGGGTCGCGGGGGAAAATGCAAATCAAACGGTTGAAGCATTTGAGCAAACTATGGCAAAACGGAAATCATACTGGGAAAACCAAATCAAGTCATCGAAAACGGGGCGTATACTTATTGTTGGAGCGTGTACAATTGTTCTGTTCTGTTCCCGAACTTGTTACTCTATTGGTGAGTGCATTTTGTGTACTTGTGTCATTCTTGCTTAGGAATAAATTGGCTATTCAGCTATGGTTAACTTTGGAGTAGGAATTGGAGTTTAAGTATATGCATTCTCCTGCTTCGAAAATGTGTATCTTCTGCTCGAGAGAACCGTGAAAAAGGCGAACTACTCACATTTAAGGACCTTCTTGGGGCTGCCCTTCTGGGGACTGCCCTTCTGGGGCGATCCGTGCCTGGACAAGGCGGTCTTCTTGGGACTGCCGCGCTGCGACTCCGATTCCCGCTTGGTGATGGCCGGCATCAGTTTCTCGCGCGTCGGCGAGGGCAGAAGGGCGCCCTCCTCTACATCTGTAGAATAATGATTAATCTGAGTTAACCCACTGCTATGCCAGTGGACACTTACCCGGGCCCGTGGTGCGTTCGAGGTGATGGCGTATATTGCTAAAGCGTGCTGGCAGTGCTGAAATCTCATCCTTATTATCAATCAAAAAGGCTTGGCCAGGAACCCGAGGCTTCTGAGCCTTTTGTAATGGCGTGGATTTCTTATTGTTCTCCTGTTCCTTCTCCTCCTTTGTAATGGGTCTGTAAATAGGGGAAATAGGTAAATATTTATGTGAAGACTAGTTTGTATAAAATAATATGATAAAAGCTTTATTACAGAATTCAAATTATTTTCTTCTTAATACTTTTTTCCTTACTTATGCACAGACGAAGCTAGGGAAAGTGCTGAGAGTGAGCTGCGCTTTGAAACCTGATCCCACAGATCCTTCTGTTTCTTGTACAGGTCCGGATCGATCTCTATGCCCCAGCCGCGGCACTGTCAGAAATAAAGTCAATAATATAAAATATATAATGCTTATTTACAAAATATTACCTTGTATTCGCCTGCCTTTTTGCGCAGCTCGACCATCTCCTTGAACCACAAATCCAAATTCGGTTTAGAGTGCGGCGGTGCAGAGCCGTTCATGACCACCATTTGGCCAGATTCCCCAGCCTGCTGCCGGTTGTCCACCTCATCCTTGAGAGCCGCAGCCGCCACGGCGGCATCGGCGAAGCCAAAGTTCTCCTTTTTCGTGATGAAGTGATTCAGGCGCTCCTGGTCCATGGCCTGCGAGAACGGACGCGAGGTAATCTTGCGCTCCACAATGGACACGTGTCTGCAATAATCGAGGGTATCATTAGCCAACGGAAATGGGGGGAACCAGCTTCTGAGAGATCTTTTTGGGGGTAACTGCTGTGCATCTCGATGGTTGCAGCATGCAACACTGGCAACATGCAGGTGCGGATGAAGGGGGGTTCTGATATATTTTTATTCTTTTCTTTTTTTTTTTTTTGGTGATGCTGCATTTTCGGGTGGGCTAATGAAGGACATCACTGAATGAGAATGGCGGAAGCTTTTGAGCAAATCAGTTTGAGCTTGAATTGAGTTTTTGAGGGCTACGGTAATCAAATGTTCATACTTCTCGTGCGTTTTTCTATCATCCGTATCGCTAACCAAGGGCTCCAACTCATGTAGAGTAGCTGAAAGCACACAGATACGAAATTTAATGCTGCAATCCAAGGTCGGTCGATAGCTTTATACAGATTCTGGCTGGCGGCTGGCACCAGTCGGGTTGGGTTACATTAAGATAAGGGAAAGTATAAGTTAATTGTAGAAAATGCAGTAGGAAACGAAAGGCCAAAAAGGTGGAAACAAAGGTAGGGGTTTTTTTTTTTGCAAAGTGTGTCTCGATTACGCTAAACTTGAACTCGGGGGAGGGGTTCGGGGGTGATTTTACATTATTGTACAGCAAATAAATGAGCAGGAAGCAGCGCCTTGGTGGGTGGTGATTGGGTGTGGTACAGTGGTTCAGTGGTTTAGTGGTTCAGTGGTTAGTGGTTAGGTGGTGGCGAGGTTAGTTGTGGGGTGTAAGGGCGAGGCAAAATGCTAACTGAAGACTTTAAAATGAAAATTAATTTGTGTTTCTGGCTGATTGGCATTGAGTCGAGAACCGAAAATGATGTTGAATGGAGGGACCGTTACAATTATCACTTGATTTAGGTAAGTATAATATTATCTTTGAATCTAGTTTGCAGCCAAGTGATAATTATCTACGTTCTCTATTTGACTGAACAGTGTCTGGTATGGTTTCCTTGTTTGTTTTGATCTTGGGATATGTTTGAACAATTTTGGGTAGCTTTTGTTTGGAATATAGAACGAAATTCAAACCAATTATTGTACTTTTATGTAGTCTTTTTTCTTTTCTTAGATAAAATATGTGTTTGGATATATTTCATATTGATTTATTTGGTATTTTTAAGCACTACGACCAATTTGCACACTATGGAAGCTCTTCGCTGGAAGCTCAAGGCGTCGCACAAGGGTTAAAGGCAAGACCAAAGCATTTTGCACTTGAAGCCACTAAGATTGCCACTGAGATGCAGATGCACTTAATGTCTATACGGTATATATAGAGAGGGTAATTTTTTTTTGTATTTCCGCATTTCCGTGTCTCCTTTCCGTTTGCCTTACCTATGCGCTTTGCTTGAACTGCAAGATTCAGTTAGTAATGAAAGAGTTGTGATTACTGCCCTCTGAACTAACCCACACTAAGCCTGGCCAATTCGCCTAGCCGATGATACTTAGTATAGTTGAGGTGATGCCATATGTTGACTGATTCTGATTGATTGATGGTTGTCTTGTTCTGGTACTGGAACTGTTACTGGTACTGGTTTAATGCATGACACTATTTGTAATTTCGGTTGATTGGCGTTTCACACATGCAACGAAACTAAGGCAACGATGCGGTATATGTATGTAGTAACTCCTACGCTTCGATCGAAATGAAAACGAAATTTATCGCACAACCTGCGGCCACAACATGCTCCATCTACACTTTGCTATTTTCAATTCGACAATTCATCACGTAAAATTGCCCTGACACTGCGTCAAAGTGGTGGCTCTGCATTCGGTATGAGCACGGATCCGGGATCCGGGGTTTGATAATTTTCCCATCAATTTTCGATTCCATTCGACTCGCAATTCAACGCAATTTTACGCTTGGCAGTAAAACAAATTGTATTGGTTTTAGCACTAATAACAATTAAATTTAGTTCAACACTTACGTCAGCTTTTGGCTAAAAAGATATATGAATCTTGAATGTGTTTAACAACCGTTTAGTTTTCGGGTTTAGTTTTAGGTTTTCTTTTTTCGAAAGGAATTTAGCATAATTTCGTTCTATATGAAATAGATTTAAGAGACAGTACAAGTTTGCTATCTGCTTGAAATAAAAAACAATCATTAGTACACAAAAGCGCTCAACACAAAACATTGGCTTGTTTATACAGAAATAAGGGCGAAATCATAAGCGGAAATGTTCATAAGATTAGTCTAGGAAAATATCTATCTTAGTTCTGAGCACTGTAGTATACATATTTATAGGTACGGGTATACGGGTATATATTGGTAAGCAAAATTTACGACGACGTGTACATAAAAAACTTGATTTGGAGTTCAATCGAATGCTGCTAGGTGGCAAATTAGCATTTTGAAATTATGGCAGTGGTGAAGAGAAGAGAAAATCGTTTATTCTACGTTCATTTACCAACTCTATTTAACGCTTTTTTCTATTATTTTTTAGTTTTTTCTTTTTCTTTTTAGTTTTCGTTTGCTCAATGCGGCTGCCACTGCACAAATTTTCATTAAAAAATCTTGAAAAATAAACAGATCTCAACAATTACGAAAGGTTAGTAAACAAAATCTGCCGTGAATCAGTTAGTTAGGTTGCTTAAGTAAAAAACGATTAAAAATCAAATGACAATTTGAGTACAATCGCTCTTCGCTCGGTTTTAGTTTTAAGTTTTAGTATTACAAATAGTAGTTGAAAGAAACTATGCGCTAATAGGAAATGTATTGTTTGTTTCATTCGTTTTTTCGACTTGGTTTTAGGTTTAGTTTAGTTAATTTAAGTAAATGCTTAGCGACGACAATTTGTTGTCGCACCTTCTTTCTGATTTGTTGTACGTTTTTTATGCACCGTGGCCAAGCCGGCACCGGCACCACCACCGGAGTGCCCGATCTGGGCCTGGTTCTGGGCCTGGTTCAGGGTCTGGGTCTGACCCTGGTTCGGGGCGTGGCCGCCGGACCGCAGGGCGCCAAGCGATATGGACTTTCTCGGATAGTCGCCGGCGGCGGCCCTAGACGTCGCGTCGCCGCCCTTAATCCGTCGGACAGTGGGCCAAACGAATTGCAGGCGGTACTCTGTGCTCAGTTTTGTGATGGTCTTTTTGAATAGGCCATTTGACTCACCCGCCTGCGAAAGAGAAGAGCAGAATCACACAACGCAGGGAAAAGGAAAGGGATTTGTTTTGTTACCAAAAAAAAGGGAGAAAAGAGAAAAAGGAGTAGAACGAGAACGAGAACGAGAAAAGAAAGCATTGCAATGTCGCATTGAGTGTTAGGATAAGTTTAAATATTTAAATATTATTCGTAGTTTTAGTTCGGGTTTTATGGGGACGATCAGAGCATAGTTAACACAGAGAAGAAGAGACCGGTTAGTCATACGTGGAGAAACAGAGAACGAGAAAGAGAAGAAATACACACAATACAAGTATAAATGGAAAATTTTGAACAACTATTGCTAATTTCGAGGAGATATATATTATTAAAATGTTAATGTAAACTTAAAATAAGGACCCAGATATCAGTAAAAGTAATGCATATATTTGTAAACAGTAAAAGATCAAACCAGGGACAAAGATTGCTTTTCAAAATATATTAATTAGTGAATTCTCTTAAGTTAAGGCACAGCAAACATTTATTGTTAATTCGTTGAAGATATTTTATAGAAAATTTAAGAAACTTCAAATAAGGTTATTTGATATTTCTTATAAAAAATCATATAAAAGTTATAATAAGAATTACTTTAAAATGTTAAAATTGTAAGGTTTTTTAATCTTCTAATCATTTTACCCCCAAATGTATGCTATGCTACGTTACAACCAAGCAAATAAATATAAAAGGACACAATCATATACGTATGTTTGACATTAAATGTTTCTGTTAACATCCATTCACTCACACCGAGGTAGAAGAAGAGGGGGGAACTAGTATAAAGTCCTTGCTACATGCATTACAAATCACAGCCACAATGGCCACAATCAAAAAGGCAAAAAAGTACCAAGTATTGAAGGTATCAGGGCTATGGCAAGCGTATGAATGGACGCAAAAAATCGATATACAACTTATGCAAATGTTGAAGGGTTTTGCAGATTAAAATTTTACATTCAGGTCGAGTAGACGCCTGACTAACTGACACTCTGTCTGACAACTCGATGGTTCTTTTGCACACATAATAAAATCAACACGCCCAAATACACCGAAAGATAATTCATTTATTTTTACAGGATTTATTATCAAATTTTGCAAATTTAAAACCTTTTAAATATATTTTTTTTTAATTAAAAAGTTGAAAAATTTATTAGGAATTCTTTTATATTTATGATTATTTTTTTGAGTGCATATATACCCATGTGAGCAAATGAAATCTTCCTATAGGCGCAACTGTTCAACAACATGTCGTCCTGCACAGGGAAAATTGCCAATAAAAGAACTGGAAAAGTTGCAGACAGCACCCGGCAAGGGGTGGGAAATTCATGGCCTGACTGATGGGCAGCATCAGCGCTAATAGAAATTTTTGCGCGCCGCCATGTTGCGGTCCAATGGTCCGAGGCGCGTCCTATCTCTGATCGGAAATGGAAGACAGGTCCTCTGTCCGCAATATTTTGCACTACCGATGCATCTTTATGGGATGTCACGATTCAACAGACTATTGAGTAAGGGAAAAATGTTATGGGTCCAGTTTTTGCCTAAGCAATAAAAGCTCTCTTGAGCGAATATAGATTTTTCCAAATTTAAAAGTTCATTTTCAGCTTTAACTAAATTTTTAATTAAATAAGAATAATATGAATTTTAATATGCATTTATTTTCTTCATCCAAGAGAGCTTCTACTTTAAATACTGAATTTTAAATATGTTTTGTCCCTAGTGAGCTGCACAAGTGATATCACCATCGAAAGAAATTCATTCATTAAATTCATCATGCTTGGGAATTGATACATACACACACACACACGCACACACAAACACCCAGTGCTAGATTAGGCAATAGACGACTATTGAATTAGACACCCGAGTGCCATCCATCTGACAATTGTGTACCTGTTTTCTTGTGGCTCCATCGATCTCCGTTGCAATGGGATAGGCACGTCCATTGGGCACGACTGGCGGTCCCTCCGATTTGCTGCGGCGCGAAGGTGTGCCTCGCTCCTCCGACTGCAGGGCGACGGATATGTAAGTCGAGAGAGATGAAGAAAGAGGGAGAGAAAGAGAGAGAGAGAGAGAGAGACATTAAACATATACGACCATGTATAGTTAATTAGCTGGCCATTAATATTACGCATACGCCCTGTTGACGTGCGTCATCAGGTGAAGTCAATTAATTATGTATTGTCAGGGTGTTCATGATAGTACGTCAAAAGCACACACACTCAGGCCTTGGTGGTCAGTGGTGTTGAAAGGATACTCAACAGGGGAAATGCATTTAATTTATGGACCTCAAAACTATTTTTACACAAATTTAAATACAGAATATACCAAAACTATATATATTTTCAAACATTCTTAAAATCTTTTCAACATTCAGTTCTTTAAAAATTCTTTTTTAAATATTATCTTGGGACTTTAAGTCCCCTTCTCCGAAAGCCTCTGATTCCGGCACACATCTCTCAATGTCCTTGCAACATGTGCCGCTGTGTGCCTCATTATTAATTAGTCTTGGCAGAGGAGAAGCAGAAAATGAACTAGGATGGGAGCAACCTCTCATATGGGGCTTTTTGTGTACGACTTTTATGTGTTTTCTGTGGCATTTTGAGAGCGTCGACATTTTCACGAGGGCCGCTGCTTAAACGCATTAACCCTAATGCCAATTCTCCTGGAAAGCCGTAGCTTTCATATGCAAATAATAATATGGCACACACATGTGTACGAATGCTAATGGAGAATATACATTTCGAAATGATGACTTTAAGCCTAATAAAACCATTTAAATCTAAACTTTCTAGGCTACCATATTGCCTGTTGGCATGTATAGAGCCTACGGCATGTAATCAAATTATAGAATATAATGAGTAGGTAGTTTTCTTTATGTAGTTTTGAATGCATTTCCATTGCTCCCACACGGTGCTCTTCAAATGTCAAAAGAGCATAAAGTTTGTGATGCCTAAAGCTACTATTACACTCATAAAAATGTTTACCTTAAATATTCCGAACAAAAAAAAAAAAACAGATTTTGTTAAATAGAAAAATTAATTTTAAAAAAATTGCTGATTTGTTGATTTTAAGGAGCCTAGGGATTTTTTATATATTTATAAAAACATTTTTATGAGTGTAAAAGCGGAAAGCTTGCTGCTTGCTCACATATTTTACAGCTTGTTCATGAAAATGGGGAAAGGCACAATCATTTTGAGTTTTTATGTGCAGAGATCTTCTCACTGGCACTTGTATATAGAAGGATTTGGTTTAAACTTCAAGCAGAGGCAAGGTTATGTACAATTTTCTGGAATTTAATGGTGTTTTATAAGTTTTCCTAAGAAATATTCCACAGTTTCCATTTAATATTCTTATTTTGAATTATGGCTTTAAAGCAAAGGTCATGGATTCAGTTTCAAGGACTTACCCTCGCCAAGCGATGTGCACTGGCATCTCGGCGTGCATCTGTGTATTCCGATCCTATAATAAACTCGTGCGATTTATATGCTAATTCTGGACATTTTTTCCGTCGCGGCAACGGCGGCTCATTTGTCGGACCTGCGAATGGGGGAAATCCAATCAGAAGTCGAATCCGAACGAGATCAATAAATAAGTCCGTGACAATAAGGCGCAAGACAAATGCCTTTGTTACTCACCAACAAATTGACTTGGATTCGGGGCTGGCGCCCGTCGCACAACCTCTGGCCGCGAGTTGCCCGTAAATTCATGCCAACGATAAGTGCTCCTATACTCCGAGTGGAGCTGCTGGAAGAAAGGATAGATAGAAAAATATGCGTCAGCAATGATAAAAAATGTAGGATATAAAAAAATAGGTATGGTATATGAACACCTATGAAGAAATGCTTAAAATGTCTAAATTCTTGTAAACAAATAGGCATTCCCCTAATGACATCTATGTATATTATTCAATTTATTATCATAAATAATTGAATACTCACTTTGGCAGTGACAATAACATGCATTAAGGGTCTCCCTTTGGGCTTCCCCTTACAACAAAAATAGACAATGGCCACTGTTTAACAGGAACATTAATTACTATAGCTAGCGTATGACAAATACCACAATGAGACCAACAAAAGCTAACCACTTCCACATATGGCCGCATGTAAATATTTTCATTTTACCAGGGCCAGACTTTGGGCCCAGGGCTGTTGGCCAATTGGCCAGCCAGTTAGTCAAACAGTTTCATTTCGGGCTCTTGGCCAAATTGCGGTTTGTCGCACATTTCAATGCAGCAAAATGTCCACCCACTTTCTCCATTGCAATCGCAATTGCAACTGCAGCCATTTGATAATTGCGACAATGGCCAGAGAAAAATCCATATTAATGGCCCGTTTTCCACTGCAACAGTTACTCTTGCTGCCACTTGTCAGTGTGTGTGTCTGTCTGTGCCAGTGTTATTTTGCAACTTATTTTATGGCCACGACAACGCATATCGATCTAAGCCCAGGGACTCGACTAGGCCACTTCGAGCAGCAGTCGTTGCATGTAAGCTGTAAATTGGGTTAAGCGCTCGCACCCAAAAGCCGGCTAAGACAGCAAGACAACTGCGGCGACAGTCCTGGCCAAACGACAGTCCAACAGACAGACAGACAGAAAGACAGTTCCAGGACATTCTCGCGGAGCAGCCAAGCCAGTCGATTTAATTATGGCCAGACCGAAGTTAGCCCTCCCAGCCCTAAGGAATTTACGTGAGTCAACCTGAGCTTAACTTTCTTTGCCTCGACGTCGTTTTCCGCTCCACTTTTGTTTCGGAAATAATTGCCGGCTGGCACGCAATGTCAAAAGACAGTAAACATTATATTAATTATTTGTAGCTGCCATTTCCTTGGTTTAATTTTAATTTTTAAACAGATAACTGGAGCTTTCGATTAAGAAAGCTTCTTAAATTCTTAAGCGGCTCAGCAAAGTAAAGTTCAAGAAGAGAGGAAATCACAAGCAAGAACTTTTAAAGTTAAACAATCGATTAATTTATCCTATATAAACTGTAAACAATAACCCTTTGAACAATTAACCCGATTCCGGGCAGACCTCTTCAGTCTAGATACACTCCTTTAAGCTGATTGCCACTCCAATTAACAGGAGTCATGGCAAATCATTCCCCGACAATCAATAAAGTCACTTGCCACGCCTACTCCGCCCTCTTTTCCATCGAACGCTTTATTTCGGCGGCACGCACCTTTTGCATAATTTAGCAGTAAGAACTCACTTTACCAGAGCCGCTGGAGCATGGCTTCTTTCTGCCTACAGGGTTCGTTTGTCATACGAATTGGCAGTTGATGTCAGGGGCGTCGCCATCGTTCCCACCTCCAGCGGGGGGCAGGAGGGGTTCCAACACCCGGCCACGTGGCATTGTTACTCTAGGTGGGTACATTTACAACCCATCCTTGGTAGCTGCAACTATTTATCATGTCGTGCGTGGCGAGAAATAAAAACCCCACATATATTTCCAACTGATTTATGCTCGTGGTGGTCCAATTGATTGCGGTCACCAGATGCAGCAGCCGCACCCCGGCATAAATATTTAAATATTATGTTTCGTTTTATTCGGTGAGTGTATTAAAAATTAATTCCTTATGAAAGTTTAAATATGGTTCGGCTTTTGGGGCCTGCCAAAATAAACGTATCAGCTTAGCGCAATAAAAGTTTGCCTTAAATTTCCAGAGAGACGACGACAATCCCTCAGCTGGGAAACACTTTGCATATCTTCCCGTCGGTGTGCCTGTGCGGTGATGCTGAAATCCTGATAAGCCTGCTGACATCTCAACTATCCAACAGCTGACAGTTGGGCGGGGTGTCATTGTCCTTCTGTTGCTGCAGCTGCTGGTTGGAGGGTTTTTAATTAAAATTTTAAACACTGAAGAGTTTATGGCTTAAAGGGGGGCACGGCACGGATAATTTCAAGTGATTTTTAATGGAGTTTTCAAGAGGTGAATGCCATTTAGCACGTAGTCCAGTGGCCCAATTGTGTTGTGTCCCTAACTATCCCATAAATAAGTGTCCACATGGCACTGGCTGGGATCCTGTTTAGGTTATTCTGTATCCGATGCACGATGTTCTGAAGATAGATTTATGGCTGGGAACTAAGTATTTTTCATAGCATACTTGCAGGCGTCCGTTTACACTGCACCATAATCCTTGCCAATACACTGCCAGGACTCTGACCGCACAAGAGTGTGTGTGTGTGAGCGGGCGCTTTCGAGGGGCAGCCGTGTGCGTGTTTAATCTACCCGAAGGGACCTTTCAAGTTTTATGCGGGCAAAACAAGCAAAATGACACCTCCAAGCATAGTTATCGCCTCCGAGATCCTTGTTTTGCGGTCTAATATGTGTGTGTTTGTGGGTATTGGTGCGCTCCTTTGAAGTGCCAACCACAGTTCCGGCGAACAAGAATATTTCTTGGTAGAATTCGTTTTGGAGGAGAGCTTGCAAAGTTTTTCTAACCCGATATTATAAAGCTGTTTTGTAGGAATTTAAATAGGTTTTTTTAAGTTTAATCTATTCGGTTTCAGAATTGAAATTAACGCATTTTTTGGCTTAGTTATGACCCTAATTAGATTTCTGTTCAAAAAACATTTTTTTAAAAGCTCGAAAACCTAAATTTGTCACTCAAAAAAGTTGAATCAAATTTTATCTTATATAAAAATCTTGTCTTGTTTATATTTGGTTTACTTCTGCTGCAGCCCTCGCCATGTTTGTGTAAAGTTTTTTCATTTACTTTTTGTTTACGATGCATTTTTGCCATTTGACACCATTTTGTCTGGCAGAGACAACGCCATGTGTGCATGCGCCTGCTTTTATGGTTTCCACCGACCAGACCGACCAAACCGACCAGGTCGAGCACACAAAACACCTGACCAGGTGGACTGGCAGCACAGCTCCTCTGTTCTCCGGTGCGTGCTTTTGTGCCGCTATGCCTCAGTTTGCTCGATTGCTCAACTAACGTGGCCGATGGGATGTTTGCTGCCGCTTTTGCCTGTTTGGTCTGCGCCAGCAATTAATTCACTCAGCCATGGCCCAGGGCCGGCGGCTGAAACTGGACGGATCCTTGTGCCCCAAACTTAATTGCCAGCTGCATTGAAATGAGACACGCCCGAAACATTCGTACCGACTGACTGACGTAGATTGACGCACAGCCGAGAGTCCCAGGATGGTAACTTCTGCTGCAGACTCAAAAGGAAATTAATGCCAATTTTCAGTCAAAAAGGTAAAGAATTTTGGCAGTTCAATCGCTATATTTAAGCAGATTAACCTGCTTTCGTTGAAGACCTTCCACTTAGGTTTAAGAAATAACTAGTTAATAAAAAGAAAGCTTCCTAGTGGTTAACTATAGCAAAATAATAAACCAATTCTCTGTCAATTAACATCCTGTCTGAGTTAGATTTTAAATAATCTCCTTTTTATTGACTTCCAATTAATTTTTCAACCCTTATTAACGTCCTTCTAGGTTCCCTCGTGCTATTTTTTCTTCGGTTAGCTAAAACTCCTTTTAAATCATTTATTTAAGAGTATCTCCTGATTTAGCCAGGTAAACGCTTGTTCAGCTCATGACCTCCTGTTAGTTACCAACCGAAGCCAGTCCACCTTGACCCTAGGGTCGAAGGTCGTCCTCATTAAATTAAGGAACGGTGTTCATTTGCATGAGCGCCTTCTTTCCGCTTCCTCAGTTCGCTTTTGCCCATAAATATGGATTAAGTTTCCGTTCTAATAAAAGCAAAACAATATGCGGACAACATTTAATTAGTGGGAATTAACTTACAGCCGCAGCGAGAGTTTTTGTGAGAGATTTTTCCAATAATGTTGGTAATAAAACTAGAACTCCTTGAAAAGCCGTGAGTGCAGTAAGAATTTCCCATTAAATATTAAATTTTGATGCACTTCAAAAATTGGTAACCAAACTTAATTGCTTCAAAACTTTGCAATTTTGGTTTTCACAAAATAAATTGATTTCACGCCCGAAAGTTGGTCTTCCCTTCCTCCAAACGCTTTCGCGGTTTCGCCAACCCTCTGAACTTTGCAGAAACTCGCACCGAGTTATGCAACAATTTAATGTCAACACACAATTACGTGCGAAAAGAGCGCTGGTGAGGCTTTCATTAAATTCAACGCTTCTAACGAGTTGTTTGCTCTCAGCCGAAAGTCAGACGCTTAAGGAGACCGACAGGAGACAGGAAGCAGGAAAAAGGAAACAGGAGCAGAGAGGGGCGACATACTGTATGGGCGACAGCTGAAAAGTCATTTGTATGCAGCCGCAAATCGAGGGACATTAAACTTTTAAGACGCTTTTATTGCTGGTGGTCTCCTCGGTCTCCTCGACCACGTGCTCCATTCGTCTGCGTCCTTTTCAATTCTAATCCTTGTACCTTCGTTCGGGCTCTGGGGCTCTGGCCTGGCTTTGATTTGTCGGCTTAGCGCTGACATGGCTGTCAATGTGTGCGGCTGATTTATATGGCCCAGTCCACGGGCAAATCTCAGTCAAATTGCTACTGGCAGTGGCAAAGCCAAAAAGAAAAACAAAAAAATCCCACTCTATAAATTCTACATAAGTCTATGGACTTGGCATTTTCTAAAGTTCATTTTATTTCACTCAACAGCACTAGCCGCCAGACATAACATAAATTGTATTTTACGAAAACATGTGCTCCCAGGCACGTTTTGTTTTAGGGGACCAGGAGGAAAATCCCATAAACACCTGCTCCGCAAATGTTTCCAGGGGATTTGCATATAAAGTGCACTCGGACT